ATATTTTTATACAAAACAAACAACAACAAAAAACCCAGAAAATCATCACTTTACAAGCCCTGTAGAAAGTTACTCATCCAGCCAAGAATTATTTATTGGTTCTAAAACCATCCACTAAATGATTGATGGAGAATGAACCAAAGTAAACATAACATTTTGGTTAAAGGGAAGTAACAATCACCAGCCATCTGGTATATCTCTCCTAATGGTATGCAATTTGAAGTACGTAAGATCACCTCTGATGTATTCTGGCCAAAAATGAATCACAATTAGAATTAAAAAAAAAAAAAAATCAGAGATTTTGAATTAGAACCATGTGAAAGCAATCATAGAAATCAAAGAACAAATCTCCCAAAGGAGCGGGTGGTGATGACTTTCTAAAGATAAATATAACTCAAACACAGAAATCTAACTTCCTGCCTGGGCAACACAGTAAGACCCTATCGCCATAAAAAAAAAAAAGTTTAACAATTAGCAGGCCGTGGTGGCACACCTGTAGTCCCAACCACTGTGGGGGTGGGGCTGAGGTGGGAAGGTCTCTTGAGCCCAGGAGGTGGATGGTGCAGTGAGCTGTGATCGCACCAGTGCACCCAGCCTGAGCCACAGAGTGAGACCCCATCTCAAAAAACAAAAAACAAATCTAACTTCCTCATTCCAGTTAAAAAAGGAAACATCCACAGAAAATTTGAAGTAAAAAAAATAAAATATAGAAATATCAGGCCTGGCACAGTGGCTCACACCTGTAATTCCAGGACTTTGGGGAGGCCGAGGCGGGTGGATCACGATGTCAGGAGACCCATACCATCCTGGCTAATACTGTGAAACCCCATCTCTACTAAAAATACAAAAACAAAATTAGCCAGATGTGGTGGCAGGCACCTAAAGTCCCTGCTACTCAGGAGGCCGAGGCGGGAGAATGGCGTGAACCAGGGAGGCGGAGCTTGCAGTGAGCTGACATCAGGCCACGGCACTCCAGCCTGGCCAACAGAGTGAGATTCCGTCAAAAAAAA